GGGCGGCGGGAGGCTGTGCCACTGCGGGGGGAGGGGGCAGCGCCGGGGGAACCACCAGTGCGGGGGCTCCGTCACGGAGTCCTCTGGGTTGGAAAAGCCCCTGCAGCTCCTCCAGCACAACCGTGACTCTACCCCTGACCGTTCCCAACTCCCCCAGATCCCTCAGCGCTGGCTCAGCCCGACTCTTCAACCCCTCCAGGGATCCCGGGGACTCCCCCCTGCCCTGGGCAGCCCATTCCAACGCCCAACAGCCCCTTCTGCACAGAAATCCTTCCTCAGAGCCAGCCTGACCCTGCCCTGGGCAGCTTGAGGCCATTCCCTCGGGGCCTGGCGCTGGGGCCTTGGCTCCAGAGACTCATCCCCCCTCTCTGCCCCCTCCTGGCAGGGAGTTGCCGAGGGCCAGGAGGTCTCCCCTCAGCCTCCTCTTCTCCAGACTGAACCCCCCCAGTTCCCCCAGCCGCTCCCCAGCAGACCTGTGCTCCAGACCCTGCCCCAGCTCCGTTGCCCTTCTCTGCCCACGCTCGAGTCATTCAATGGCCTTTTTGGGGTGAGGGACCCAAAACTGAACCCAGGAATCGAGGGGCGGCGTCACCAATGCCCAGCACAGGGATAAAATCACTCCCTGTCACCCGGGAGCTCACCCTTTCCTGGTGGCACCACGGCTGAAAGCAGCCTGCACCTGTACACGGGATCTCCTTAGGGCACCTGTGTGTGAGGCCTGTATAGGGCCTGTGTATGGAGCCTACAGACCAGGCCTTAACACAAACCCGGCCAACACACCGGGCCCACAGGTCAGAGCTAAATACAGGCCGGCCCTAAGTACAAACTGGGTCTAAATACAGCCAAGGTCAATAGGCTGGGCCCATGGAGAGGGGCTAAATATGGACCAGAGCTACAGCCTGGGGCTAAATGCAGATAGGGCCAACGGACCAGGCTTAAATATAGCCTAGGCCAGCAGCACAGGGGTATTGGGCAAGCATGAATGCAAACCAGGTCTAAATACAGACTGGGCCAACAGCCTGCACCTACAGATCCAGCCTAAATATAGCCCAGGACTAAATACAGGCTAGGAATCTTTCCCCATCTGTCCCGTTGCGCAGCTCCCAGGAACATCTCCCATCGCAGCGTGGCTGCCTTCCCCCCTGCCCTAATTCCTGACTCCCAGCACAGGGTTGCCTCTCCACGCTTGCTCCTTCAGCTCAGCACCCAGTTCTCCCAGTTCTCGTCCCCCTTGCAGCAGACACCTTGCAGCAATCCCCCGGCTCCAGGCAGGATCGGGGCTTCCTAGGGTGCGGGAGCGGATGCGCGGAGCAGCCCGGCAGCAGGAGCTGGCGAGGAGCTGGGGAGATGCCAGTCTCCAGCTGGCACACACAGTCCTCGCGCTGCTGCTGAACCTGCTGTGTGAAGCGTGGCCAACACCAGATGTTCTGGTATCATTAGCAAAGCTTGGGAAAAAAAATCATGGGAACTTTAAAAAAAAAACAACTAAAACATTATTCTGGGAGCTAATTGTTACTCTGCATTTTGAGCCTATGAAACACCCAACTTCAATCACATTCTTGGATTTTTTTTAAATTTTTTTTTTTCTGCAGCCATAAATGCCAGAAGGAAACTCACTGAGAAGAAAACAAGATGCATATTCACCTGACTCCAGGGGCTGGAGCTTGAAGGAAACATGGAGTATTGCAAGATTGCCACAGTATCTGGCTTCCCGTTTGTGCAGTGGAGGGATTCCTGTTCCCTGATAAGATCTGGCTGAGAGTTAGGCACCGAATTTAGATTCTGCCCCCCTATGTAGGCTCATTCAGAGGTGATAGCCAACGTGGCAGAGTCTGACAAGACATGGGCGAAAGGCGGTTCCTCTCAGCCATCTCAAAATGTGAGAAATTTTCCTCTAAAAGTGTGTGTCTGCCCTCGTCCCTAAGTGACCCACACAGCGTAGGCTGAGCCTATGCAATCTGTGTGACCGCAAAGGCTGCAGATCAAGCAAAATCGTCTGGACTGGCCTTAGATCTAAGACTTGATACTACATATGGCAACACAATAAGAAGGAATAACCACATCTGAACAAGAGGCTTCTTGATGTAAGTTGGTTGGATCTGAACTGTGAAAAAAGAAATAGCTATCCTTCCAGACACAACAAGCCCGCAGTGGCAAAAAAAAAAAAAAAAAAAAAAAAAAAAAAAAAGTATTACCCTGGTAAATGAGACTCAAATAGGAGAAAGTGAATCAGCATCCGAGATGTATTTATGCTTTAAGGTGATTATCTCGGCTCCCTTCATTAACATGATAACAGCAGACTCTGCAAACAGGCACGGGGGTAATACTGTAGATGTCTGCACTTTCATTTCGCGCAAGACAGCTGCCTGGGAGAATGGGATTATTCGTGGAGAGTTGAGCGCTGAAACTCCTCCTTGCTGATACAACCAAAACAGGACGTGGTGATTGCCCTCGCCTCATCTTGTTTAATACAGAAAGCACTCGAGCGTAATGGCAACGCAGTTGAAATCTGCAGATGCAGAACAGACAAACTCCTTACACGTGTGATTCCAGGGCTTCCATTCAGCATCTGCTCCCCTTGCTGCTAAAGCCGCTTGAAAAATAGCAGTTGGTTTATTTATTTTTTTTTGCGCAAAAATTGGTAAAATAAAAGCTGGGTTAAAAAAAAAAAAAATCCCATTATTGCTAGAGCAGCTGTGCTGTAGGCAGAGACCTCACAGCGTGGGGGTAGAGGGGAGCACCACTTGTGCCTCCCTGCAAACTAAGACAGAGAAAGGTTCGTTGGCAGCAGCTGCTCTAAGTCCTCAAGAGGACCAGAAAGAGCTTGAGGAGTGATTTAAAGATTCCCAGATACTCTGAGCCCTCCCAGATGGGTTCATGATTCCTTCCAGCCTTTCGCTGCCGGGACTGGGGAGACTTGTAGCCCCTCAGTTTCCAGACAGAGAATTACAGGAATTAGCCAGGAGAAGCGTGCAGGGAAGACACTTGCCCACCGCAAGTCCCCACCTTATTGCCTGCACCCCAAACACGTCAGGGAGCACAGCCACGGCGAGGGAGTAACTGAAGGGAGACGGTCACCCCCAAGGGACACGTTATCTTCTGCAACTGCTAACTCATACACGTCCCAGCAGCTCGTGGCCCAAATCACGCGCTTACAGAAGACTCCTGCCAAGCTGTCCCCCTCTCACTGGCACCCACCGGTTCAGCTCCCCTGGGAGCTTTTCCCCCTCACCTTCTCTGAAAATGTAGTTATTGTTGAAAACACCTCCACACAGGTCGTAGCATCGGGCTCCAGCTCTGGAGGAATCCCAGAGTTGTCTGGTAACACTGCAAAAATAGCCACATTGAGAAAAACAGAACGGTGGAGGATTTTGTGATTTCACGGGTCTGTGATTGCTGATTCTTTGTGCTACTCCTTTCCACGCTTTTTCGAAAGACCTTTCCTTTTGTCCTTACAGCTCACCTGGGGCTTTGTTATCCGTGAGTTATAGTCAGCAATAGATTAGTAACTCCTGCATCTGCGTCGTCTGCAAATGCGTGTGGGCAGCTCCCCCCGGCTTGAAGAGCCCCGTCAGCTTCTGAGAGGGAAAAAAGCAGAGCAGGATGGGGAAAGCAGGGCCTGGTGGCACTGCTTCAATCCCAGCATTATTACATTTCTCAGCCGTGTACCACAAGGTGTCTCCAGCAGTACAGGCATTGCTGTGGGGTTTGGAGGTTGCACCTCAGCGTCTTCTCCTGCGCTGACCCTCGGAGGTGCAGTGCAATTCCTGGCCCTGCTCTCAGCAATCTCCAGCTCTACAGTCTTACCAGTAAGAATCAGGTCTCCAGCCTTCATTAGCTGAGATAGCTAATTGCTGAGAGGAAGCAACTTTCATGAGGGCGAGCTGAAGCCAAGATTTTTCTTGCTTTCTTCCTTCTCTTTATTTCCCCGTGTTTTACTGTTTCCTCCTTCCTTTTTTTTTTTTTTTTTTTTCTTTTGCAAAACATATCCCATTGCATTTTCCGGTCAGTTTGGCACCATACTGCTTTCAGAAGCCTATACTATTACATGCATGCACACATACATATGCATATATGTAAATACATGCAGACATACGCATTTACACTAGTATTACTATTAACACACTGACAGCAAATCACTTGAGATCCTCCTGCCCGTGCAAAGGATATGTATGTGTGTGCGTGTGTCTCCTAAAGCTATCCTCTTGCCTCACTTCATCAAAGGGCTCTGTGAGTAATTGCTGAAGCAAGAGGAAGAACATATGTCTTGATTTCCACTGTATTGCACCGTGCATAACCACTGCTGCTTGGAAAAAAAAAAGGCTCATAAAGACCTGGATTCATCTCACTTAACTGCATCGTCAAAGGAAGGCAGCCAGGAGATGGTGCAGCCTGGCTGGGAGTGGGAGAGAGCGTCACCAGGGGTCCCTGCCCTTGGGGACACACAGCAGTGAGGTGCTTCGTCTCGATGCTGCCAGGAGCCCCGTGCAGTGTCCTGTGTCACTTCTGTCTTGTTATGGCCCATCTGCCATGATTTAGGAGAGGGCTGCCAAATAAAAACCTCAAAAATCAAGCTTTTCATATTTATGGGGGAAGAAAATGACTCCTGGATCTTTCAAGTGATTCATGGATTAAATGAAATCAATGGCTTTTATGGATTCATAAATAAAAAAAAATACAACAAGACGTCAGCCGTATCACATTTTCCAGCTTTGGCTTTGAAGTCCTACATGTCCTACCTCATTTGCCGGGCTGCGCCGGCCACCACGTTTATCCATCTCCCCTTAAAAAGCACGGGGACTCAGCCGTCCTGCTCAGGAGTCCTTGCCAGAACCTCCCTCCTCCAGCAAGAAGAAAACAGATTTCAATGTAAATTTATTCCGGGCCAAGATGTGCCTTATTTGATCTCCTACCCGTATTATCCTCTAACTTAAATCACTCC